TCCCTGAGTGATGTTTGTGATGCGGCTGGATGGTCTTCACCGCATACTTTTGTTAGGTTCTATGACCTAGACTTAAGTTCTACCCCTGGGGCACAGGTGGTCTTGTCCTCTGTGCGCTAGTTCTCACATGACGGTCACTTGGTCCTATGGTGACGTGGGTATTCGCGTTCCCACAGCGTTTGACGCAGCTCGAAGTTCCCTTGAAAGGGAACGTCTCGGTTACGTATGTAACCCTAGTTCCCTGATAGGGAACGAGACGCTGCGTCGTTCTGCCATACTCCCGGCATTCCCGTTAAGCGCTCCTTCAGGCCTATCAGAAGCTGATGCGCTTGTGTTTTTGGGGTGCTTTATAGTTTCCTGGTCGATGACGTCACCCGCCTATGACGTTCCGTCTTTCCATTGGGCTGATTCCATACGTGCTTCATGACGCACAACGCAGGGGCGTTCCCACAGCGTTTGACGCAGCGTCTCGTTCCCTATCAGGGAACTAGGGTTACATACGTAACGAGACGTTTTCTTGTTTTTTTTCTGAACAGGTATCAACAGGTATGTTTTATCAGGGAGCAGCAGAAACAGTCTATGTAGTCAGAGGTCATGACCACTACTACAGATATAAGTCGACCAACGTTACTTCTCTGATAGTAGCTTAGGTTTGGTCATGACATGGTTTCCCATGTACACTAAGATTACATTAAACAGATGTAAAGCCCAATTTATACTTCTGCGTCGAACTACGTACCTGCTGTGTGTAGCGCGCGTACCCTGACGTGCACCTCTCCAAAAATTTAACAATGCGTCAATTCTACCGCAAGCGCTGTGATTGCTAGAACCGCTCCCCGGGTTTCACATGCATGCTCCCTCTGCATGTGTATTTGCGCGTCAAGGGGGACAACGACGCAGAAGTATAAATAAAAACCAACGCGTAGTCTATAGCGTAGAGGCTCCGGCGTAGGTCCGACGCAGAATTATTAATCAGCCCAGAGTGAGGTGAAGTGGTCGAGCACAGGTGCTTTAAATTTAAGTTTAATTTCCCTTACAGAAAAACCACATGAGTTTCACATGTGCAAAAACACGTGATCCCATGTGACAACGTGGACATGTGATTTTGCACATGTGAAATTTAACATGTGAAATATGTGGAACACATGTGCTTTGCACATGTTAAAGGTAATTTGCACATGGGAAACGTGTGCTTTTGGAACATTTTCATGTGAAACCCATGTATATTCCCATGTGAAACCCATGGGATTGCATGTGAAACCCATGTGATTACATGTGAAACCCATGGGATTGCATGTGAAACCCATGTGATTACATGTGAAACCCATGGGATGTGAAACCCATGTGATTACATGTGAAACCCATGTGATTGCATGTGAAACCCATGTGATTACATGTGAAACCCATGGGATTGCATGTGAAATGTAAAATTCCCATGTGAAATCCATGAGCTTACATGTGAAACGTAAAATTCCCATGTGAAACATTTAATCAGCCTAATGTTTCCCAACATTAAAACAAATAATTTATTATATATTTTTTTTTTATTCACTTTTTATTTCATTTCAAAATATGCAATACAAATTGAATGTTTAAAACAAACAAAGCAAAACCAAATTAAAATTAAAGCTGCAAGCAGCATTTTAGCGGTGTTCAAGCAGTTAAGGCCTTTCAGGCCGTTAAGCACAAAAGCATGAAAAGACATTGTTTTATGTAGCAATCATGATTTACCATGATATACTACATTTCAGTGTGATTTTTCATGATTTACCATGTTCCAGTATGATTTACCATGAATCTAACATGATTTTCCATAGTTTACCTTGATATACCATGTTATATGATGATTTACCATGATATAGCACATTCTAATATAATTTACCAGGATTCTAGTATGATTTACCTTTTTTACTATGATTTACCATGTTTCTGGCGTTATTTACCATGATTTACCAAGTTGATAGCAAAAAAAGATTAAAAATGTCTAATGCTGCTGCTCCATCTAGTGGACAACAGTGCTATTACAGCCTACTTATACAATAGGCCATGTTTTTCATATCATTTAATCTACACACGCTCATTCTGATGTAGATAAAGACATTTGGAACTTCAGGAGCCAATGTGACTCAATTGTCACTTCAATGGACGATTTTTGACTAAATGTTATTGTAAATGTTAAAATAGTGAATTTATAAAGTCTAAATATTAATTATAGTTGAGTAGTGTGACAAAATGACTTTTTTTAAACAGCAGGGGGCAGTAAAATACCACTTATTGGCTGTTAGCCTTTTTTCAAGCTGTTATAGCTGTTCTTGACCTTTTTTTAAGAAGCTATGAGCATTTATTGAAAAGATATTGGCTTTCGGTCAAGGCTACATATTGAAGTGACCCTATTATAGTCATCAAAATGAAGAAGTTATACATTTTCCTATAATTATTGTTCTAGAGAGTACAGAGCAATAGATGAATTTTGACAAAATGTGATTGTAAATGTTAAAATAATGATTTAATAAAGTCTAAATATCAATTATATATAAAAATATTAGAGAGTAGTATGATGAAATGACAGCAGGGGGCAGTAAAATACCACTTATTGGCTGTTATAGCCATCCAAGCTGTTATAGCTGTTATAGCCATCCAATTTACACTCTATTATAGCCATCCAAATGAAGTAATTATACCTTTTCTGATAATTATTGATCTAGAGAGTCCAGATAATTGTACTGCACTGGTTTTAAACATTAAGATTTGAAAATGATACGATCATAGATGGAAAAGACCATTTACAGCCAATACAGGCAATTTACCATAGGAAATGTATGGTTTTAAAGCTTTTCAACAGTTATAGCGCCACCTATTGTCCGATCTCCATGAAACTTCGCATGCTTCTTCACCATGGTATGACATATATGCTCATCAATTTTTGTGAAGTTCTGAGTTTTTATTTATGATTTATAGGCTTTTGAGTGTGTTTTGACACACCCCTTTTATAAATGACCCTGTTATAGCAAAGCAAAGGGCAAAGTTCAACTTTTTTTCGATAATTATTGATCTAGAGAGTCCATAGAATTGTCCTAGACTGATCTGTTTCCTATCGGGCGAAAAACCAGGGACTAGTTCGCAAAAGTAGGTTTTTAACATATTCGTAAATATTTAATGAACGGTTTGATTGACAGCAATGGTTCTAGAGGCAAAGTTGTTCAACATGAGGAGATCTATCAAATGATATGCATATTGTGGGGATGTGTGCAACACCACGTGATTGCAAAGCCTCAAAACTCGTTAGCGCCAACTAGTGGCCGATTTCTTTCAAAACTCTTACAGACCTCTTGGGCCATGAGTCGAACATGCCCATAGAGTTTCGTTCCGATCGGCCTCCGTTAACCTCGTCTCACAGGTGCTCAAACTTCATTGGCCGATGGCGGCCATGTTTTTTGAGATACGCCAATATCCTTTTACACATACATGGCACCTTGGACCAAGACACTGCATACCAATTTTCAAGTCAATCGGACTAACGGTCAGGTGGCCACACCCCCTTTTATGTTTTTTTAATGTTATAGCGCCACCATGAGGCCAATCACCGCGGTTTTTTTACTGTGACCTCGAATTGAGCTCATACACATGTGTACCAAGTTTGGTGAAAATATTTCATTTCGTTCACGAGTTATACCCATTTTAGTAAAATTAGCTCCGCCTCCATCAAACTTTTGGGCACTCCCTAGCAACCGTGAATCGAAATTTCAACTTTTTTTCGATAATTATTGATATTCAGTGTCCAGAGAATCTTTCTGCACTGGTTTGGTTCCAATCGGGAAAAGAACCAGGGACTAGTTCGCAAAAGTAGGTTTTGGACAAAACCGGAAATAGCGAAAAAATTTGCATACCGGAAATGAAATCCTTGAGGCCTTTTTTGTTCTGCTTGAGCCAAGGATTCCAATGATATAAGACACTTGATGCTGGGACATAGGGTTATTGAGATTTAAGGAAAATAGTGCCATTTTTTTGTTTTTTGTGCTATAGCGCCACCTATGGGCCAATCGGGCTCATATTTTGATAACCTCTCCTCGATTTCTGTGCTACCTTAATCCCAAATATCAAGTCTCTAGCTCTTACGGTTTGGTCTGCACGATGCGTTTTAGGGCGGAATAATAATAATAATAATAAAAATCAGCACAATTACAATAGGTTTTCAGCACTTCGTGCTTGAACACCTAATTATACATAAAAAGCCGCAAAAAACGCAGGTATACGCGCATGTGTGTGTGTGTGGTGTGCGTTTGTGAAAGTGTGTTGTCTCAGTCCTTTGTGTCTCCTGCAGCAGGCATCCTGTTTTGGGATAGAAAAAGATCAAAGATTAGGGCAGTGCATACCATAGACTGTAAAAAAAAATATGGACGTAGAGTCCGTGACATCACCCCGTAGGTTTCTGAAAAGCATTTTTGAAGCCTAAAGGGGATGGGGCTTAATAATTAATTATTATTCATTTGTAATGTTATTATGTCATTAAACGTTTTACGTAAATATGCTATGGAAATACATCTTGCTTAAACAACTGTATAAGATGAGTGGTGCGTCTCATTTATAAAAAAAACTATTGACAGTTTGTGAATAGATCACAATGTAGACTGAGGAATAAACTGAGTCATCAGTCCTCGCGCATGTCGGTTTCGCAAATGTGAACAGACCACATGGGGATCACACTTGGATGTTGGATCGTCTGAATATTACCTTTCTGCTCGTCTCCTCAGATCTTTTAACTTTTGTGCCATGCAGACCTTGATCTCAGTGCCTCCAATGCCTGGGTGCCTCTTTTTGACATGGTCTGTAAGAAATGAGATTGATTACATTAAAATTTGAAAACAAGTTTGACATGACGTGACATAACTGCCAGATTCAAACTGTGCTTTCCGCGCTATGGCTGGCGCTGACGGACGCACTCAGCGCTTGTCATATATAATAACTATTGATAAAAGATATTCAGACATGCTTACCAATTATTAGTTGCACCTTTTGTAGGTCAAGGCTCTTTTTTCACCAACAACCCCTTTTTTTCCGTTCATGCTGCCATCTCTTCGAAAGAGAAGATGGAGTCCATAAGAGTTCTGGTTAACTTTTTGTAACCCTTACATTTTTGAGCATGATCCAAAGCAACTGGGTTCATTAAGTCAGTCACAGACTTGTTCTGCAAAGCAAAAAATAAAATAAAAAATAGAACATTTTCGTCAGGACAGAAACCGTAATCTTTTCAACGTTATTGCGTATTAGGTGAGGTTTTCACTTTGGAGCTGTGAGTGTAAATTTTAGCATACAAGTATTTATTGTTCATGCTCGAGTCTTGTTACTCTTTTACCTTCATAGTTATTCCAGAGTTTAGGGGTAAAATGCGAGAAATCCTTTAGTGGACTTAGATATGCTGGGCACTACTCACTGATCTATATAAATGACTTGATTGCTCATGACGTCATGTAAATTGAAGTCACCATATTCTATTGAATTAATAGGAAATCATCTGACTTTAATGAGAAAACATGACCTAACGAGTCAGTGTTTTTTATATTTGAATACTATACATTCTTACCATGTAAACATCCAAAACATTTCTGATTATTATTAATGTTGAAAACAGTTGTGCTGATTAATGTGTTTGTGTAAACCAATGTAACAGTTTAAACCATTTTTTCCCCTCCAGGATTCATTGTTAAATAGACCACAAACATATGAAGGGTAGTTTACACTAATGTTCAAACATTTGGGGTCAATGATAGATTTAAAAATGAATAGAAAAAAAAAGAAGAAATTCATATTTTTACTAGGATGCATTAAATTGACCAAAAGAGAGAGTAAGGATTTCTGTTTCAAATAAATGCTGTTATTTTAACCTTTCTATTCATCAAATAATCCTGAAAAACACAAAAATATGAAGCAGCACAACTGTTTTCAACACTGATAATAATCATAAATGTTTTTGGAGCATCAAATCGTCATATTAGAATAATTTAAGAAGGATGATGTGAAGCTGTGATGCTGAAAATTCAGCTTTGATCACAGGAATTAATTGCATTTTACAATATATTCACATAGAAAACAGTTTTTATTTATTTATATTATTTCACAATATTATTGTTTTTAATGTTTTTTTGGTGAACATAAGAGAAAGAGACATAAACATTTGTACCAAGACAATTAGTGTATGTTTGACATTAGTGTATGTTTGGCGTTTTACTTACTAATCATATGGTTCATCAATAGTGCTTTAGAGATGAAGATCAGCTCCACTCCGCTACGTTGCAGGGCATCAGCACTGAAGGATCTAAGAACACAACAAGCCATTTGTCACTGAGCCAACAATGCAATGCCAGGTTTATTGAAAGGAAAGAAGCTACAGCAGAGGTGAAATGCAGAAAAGAGAAAGAATTTAAAGAATATACAGAACATAATTTCTTAACTAGGATAACAGAATTTGTTTTTTGGGTTTACTTATTCATTTAATTTTGCTCAGACGGTGTAACTTCGTTTGGATGTCAAAACCTTCTTAAAATAAACTTTTTTTTTTTTTTTTAAATTGAGAAATAAAATGAGGTTATTTAATGAGCTTCCTCGGCTCACCTGTGTAACGTTACTTCTCCGGCAGCAGCTTTCTTCAGAAATGTTGAAGTCGTGGAGGCGCTTTCTCTCTGTTATGGGTTATTTTGTTACTACTGAAATCACAGAACATTTTTTAATCAAAATGTGTGTTGTGGCAAAAATTCATCTCAAACAAACATCACTGCGTAAGAGACACTCAGAGTCAAATTATATAAAATAGAAGTATTTATTCTTGCAAGAATAGGAGCAGTCTAATACACAGTTGTTACCCTGTGCAGAAGAGTGACACAAACCCAGACAGACTGAACTAGCTTTTATCTTAGTTTCAAGGCCTTCTTCCCCCCAGAGCCTTCCTCCCAGTAGTTTTCCATAGACGTCACTAGTTGGCCCACTAAGCTCCCCTGCACCAAATGGCCTTCTGACATCTAGGTTAGAGGTCCTTGTTCGTCTGTTCTCTGGAGTGTCTCCCTCTTCTGCCTCCCCAGGTACATAAACAGAATCTTCTCTCACTACAAGTGAGAGACACACATGTGACATTCTTTGAATCATCTATATTTAACTAAAGATCAATGAATATCATTAAAATTGCCACCACATGTGTTTAACGTTACCATTGAGCTAACGTTAGTTTCAGCCTATTTTCTTGCTCCTGAAAGTAACATCACCGATACGTTATGTTTACGTTTGTGTTAAATAAATTAGCTCACTTCCAAGTAAAACCTTTACAAAACCTCTCATCTACACATAAGAGGTGATTAAAAGCCCAAACTTTAATAAATAAAAGTTCAACCGAGTTAACGATACGTTAGCCTAGCTAACGTTAACGTTACCTCTTCTGAAAACGGTTGAGATCCTAACGGACTTTTTCCGAAGACACTACACCATGTCTATAAAGTACATTTTTAACAGAATCGTGTCAATTACAAGTAAGAGAAATGTCAAAAACAGTTGTGAGTATTATTCGTGTGATTTTAGAGACTAATCTCACCTGGAAAAAGCCGTGAAAAGTTGAAACAACATCGAGAGAGGGAGTTGTTTTGTTGCTTACCAGTAGCAGTGGTCCCGCGCCGTTTCCATGGCAACTCTGCGCGCCGGCCGCTTGAGACTCGAAAGTTCACGCGCACGGCATTGATTAAAGGCCATGGTGCAGGTTTTTTTTTTTTTTTTTTGTGCCAGTTTTCTAGTTGGTAATAAACATTTAAACAGTTATCCATTGCATTTTATGTTGTAGGGGAAAGATTAAACCACGTCAAAATCATGCAGCACTTAAAATGAAAAGTTTAATATACACTTTATTTTATTTGAAAACGTGCTTGCAATATTTTGTATACCATCACTTTGCTTTTGATTTTCTTTTTAATATAAATAGCCTATATATAAAGCCAGTCTTTATAGTGCTTTTAGATTATCTTTCAATGCATGGTACACACACACACACACATATATATATATATATATATATATATATATATATATATAGGCTATATATATATAAAGATGTCCTGAAAGTGCTTTGTAAATAGAATATGAAAGCAGTAGCCTATTGATTATATCAAATATAATATTATACTGTTGATTATGTAAAATATATTTATAATATAGCTTTAGAAATGGTAAACAGTGTTGAAAAAAGTATTGCAAAAACTCACTTGATTAAAAACTATACGCTTCATTATCATTAAAATATTTTCATGAATATATTTTCACATTAGTAGGCAAATGTGGGCCTACACATGCATTATAAGCTTTATGTTCTATGCATTTTGTGTGAATAAGGCTATTGAAGCTAAAAATGTACAATATTTGTGACGTGGTAACATAATTCACATGTTAAAACCTATTACAACGTGCAAATATATTTCACATGAGCTCCACATTATTACCTATAACATGTTTTCCACATGTGCCACGTGTTCCATTAAGTTTACATGTGGTGACATGTTGTTCACATGTGGTCGAACATTACTCGCATGTGGTGACATGTTGTTCATATGTGGTCACATGTGGGCACATGTGGAAAACATGTGATAACATGTGAAATTCATGTGTTTTTTCTGTAAGGGTTTAATTCTGTAATTTTAATTTGGCCCTGGCACGCGTTACAAAAGGATGCGGAGATAGAATAGTTCTGCAGTGTGAGGGTTGAAGGCAATCATTGGAATTCGTCCAACGGTGTCAGCCATGCGGTCATTGTGAGAACTCAGTCTTTTTTTACGCAATTGAAATTTCTTCCGTGTGTATGTGAAGAGTTGAAACACATCTGGGTACACAATGTGTCGCATGTGTGGATGAAGAGACATTGCTTCAAAAAAGGCGGTCAGTGTGGTGGCAGGTGGCCCTGAGTCCAACAGGTTCTGGGCAGCGCCTTCATCATTGAAAATGATGACCTGTTCATCCTCTAGATGAATTGCAAGCATCTTTGCTGGTGGCTGTTTCTGCTGAATGGGGAAGTCGTATATGCGCCAGTATCCCTCAGATGCAGTGATGTAACGCCATAACTCATAACGTGTCACCTCATCACGTCGTAGTATCTCACGGGTCTCATCATCAGGTACATCCAGTCTCACCATGCACTGATGTGGTCCCTTCTCCAAAATATACAGATATTTGACACTGAAGACAGCACACACAATTTCAACATTAATATGCGCATTGTATCGGAGCAGGATGCACGGATTGTATGGCACAACCGATGTATTATTGACAGGTACATTGACGCCACCTCTGATGGTCTTGATGATGGGAGAGCAGGTGCTCCTTCTGTTCGTCTTTGGTACAGTGGGTAGGAGTTGTCTGAAAAGCTTGTGTTCTGTCTCAATTGTTTGGGAAAGTCTTTGGTGCATTTTTTGTCTACCATGCAGGGGGATAGCACTGTTCCATTGCCTACATGGACCGTGAATCATGTGTGATGTCACAATGCGATGTAGTTCCAGTTTGTGTTTTTGTCAGGAATCTCTGCAGACACCACACGGTCAATATCGCTGGCGGTCCTGGGTTTGTCGCGGGCTACCATAGTCATGAGCATGTGTATATGTGGAAGATGCCTCTTTTGTGTTTCCTTCACCATCACATATGCATCAATGTGTCCCAAGATGTCACGCTTGAGGAGGTCTGTGAGGAGTGCTTCCACCTTCATGTGAAATACTCGAGCAATGATGTCTGGTCTCTGATTGGTCTGTTGACCCTCAAAAAGTGATCCTGTGATTTCAGGCCAGTTCGGGTTGCAAGTGAAGGTGAGGAAGAAGTCAGGTTTTCCTTTGATTTGTACCAAGGCCATGGCATCTTGGAACTCCTTGGCATACCATCGGGGTGATCCGTAAATTGTGGGTGGCAGGATGGTTAGGTGTCCAGGAATGATCTCGGTGTGACTATTCAGGGCATCAACAATGATTTTATACTTTTCAGCCTTGATAGACTTCTGGTTGTGGCGGATCCAGTTGAGGCGGTGTGACTCAATTTTTGCCATCATGTCACATACGTATTGCTGTGTCAGTCTCCCACCACGAAGCAGCAAATTGAAGTGTTGAGCAATGTCACGCACTTGAAGATGGTAACGGTAGAAGCATGTTGGTGTGATACCTGCGAGCTCAGTGTGGTATCCTTGGGAACCCTGAGGCAGAAGAAGCACATATGACAATGGGTCATATGCTGGATGCATGGCGTCGATTCTCTGAGGTGAAAAGTGACAGCCAGTTTCCCAAACTACTGTGTAGTTGTTACTCCTGGAGCAATGACAGCCACGTCACTATTCAGTGATGGAAGATTCACAGTGCCACGATGAAGGTCATGACGTCGTGTGCGAGCTGTTAGGACAATTTTCAGTTCATTGGCATTGTCATTTTGGGTCACATACTCAATGGCTGACTTAAACTGTTGCACGTATGGATTGTACATGTGAATGGCCTCTTGCGTCCTCAGTAAAAAATCTTCATTCCGATCACTGTTTGAGGCATGGGCTCGACGGTTTTCCAGCTCATGAGCAGGATCGTGGAAATAGATCTGAGCAAAGAGTGGTGTGCGACCTTGTTCAGGAAGGGGGCCGGCAATGTAATGATAAACTTTGCATTGTATACGCACACCTGGGTTGAAGACAGGCATTGCTACCTCTTTAATACCAATACTTGCCATTGCCAGCGCATTGTTGTATTGTTTTGCTTTCTTCACAAAACTTTGATAAAGGAAAAGGTCCTTAATAGCATCTGGAGGCTGTGGTGGGATTGAGCCAGGCTTGGGATTTGTGGCGTTATATGTAAGGTTAATCTTACCGGAGTTGCAGCAGAATCCTTTTCTCTCCTCTTTCCATACATTGGCACCACAATGTGAGCATGTAGGACATTCAAACAGTGAGGTCTTGCTCAGCATGTGCCTATAATCACCATGAAGTTCCTCTTGGAAGAAGTCTGTATCGTCCGAGCAAGGTTGCGATTGTCTTTTTGTGCCTTTTCCAGACGGGCGAGACGAATCTTCTGATGGCACGTGGTATCCCTTGCTCGTTGCTCCTCTTGCTGCTGAGGGGTCTCCTCCTCTCTCAGAAGGTTGTGTCGTTGACAGTCATGCATCTGGCGATTTGCTCGTATCTCAGGTGTTTCCTTATCTCTCATGTTAGCATGGTGAGCAGCGTCGTTTGCCAGCCGAGCACGGCGTTCGTCCTCTCCCTCAGCTTCACGGCGCCTTTCCTGACGTGCAGCATTACTTGCCAGTCGAGCACGGCGTTTGTCCTCTTCCTCAGCTACATGGCGCCTTTTCTGCCGTACAGTGTTACTTGCCAGCCGAGCATGGCGTTCGTCCTCTTCCTCAGCTCCACGGCGCCTTTTCTGCCGTGCAGCGTTACTTACCAGCCGAGCACGGCGTTCGTCATCTTCCTCAGCTCCACGGCACCTTTCTTGACATTCAGCGTCACTTGCCAGCCAAGCATCTCGGGCTTCGACTGACTGAGCATTACGTGCATGACGCATTGTCTTGCGTATCCTCTCCCTGTTGGTACGACTATCTTTCGTCATCTTAGCATCAGCAAAGGTGGTGTAACAGTAGGTCACAATCAGGTGGTCTGCAAAAGATCAGATGGGTAGAAATGTGGTATGAATATAATTAATTTAGCTGCTGTTCATAACTTATAGTTCATTTGAATTATAATAATTTATGCACATCAATGCACAGCCAGAGACAGAAGAGAGTGATCATGAACAATAAGGCTGTGTGGCGTGCGCATGGCGTCTGCGTGGCGGTTGTTATGTCTTTGCATACCAGAAACGTGTCTGATGCGGCGCTGCTGCTGCTAGGTAGCGTACAATGAGGGCTATCTCGGGATTTGGATCACCCTTGTTCGAAATATGGTGAGAGAGTTGTGGAAGGCCTATAATTCATGTTAAACAAAACATAAATATATAGCCTACTGATACAGCAAAGACTACGTCGGCAGAATTGACAAAATAGGCTACAGAATTTTTTATTCTGTATTGACAGGTGCAATATTTGAATATTTGAATGTCGAATAACATCTGTATTTATGTCAAAACCTCCAAAGGTTTCCAGGCTTTTCTATTTAGCCTGGAAACGCTTCCAACATGCTTGCATGTCGTGTGAAAAATAGGCGTTGGTTCTATTTCTAGCATGCACGCTGTTTTCGGCGAGATGCGCGTCACGCAGGCAGTGTGCAAGCTCTAACCTGTTAACATGGGAGCCGAAATAAAAACGGACACGACACGCCGGCCTAAAGTAACAGCTGATGGGGATTTGCCGTCACGATCGGTAAGAGATAACCTTGTTTAAGCCTGCGTAGCCTAGAGCTCCTGTTGAATAGGCAGGGCAACTATTTAACATATTAATCATCAAAAAGGCTAACTTCAGCGCGCATGACACCGTAATATATTAGCATTTATTACAGATACATGGCCGTGAAAGATAGCGATAATGTTAAGTATGACACAGTAATATATTAGCATTTACTACAGATACATGCCCGTGAAAGATAGCGATGATGTTAAACATGACACAGTAATATTTACATGGCCGTGAAAGATAGCGATAACGTTAATTATGACA